ACAAGGTTTAATTCTTTGGCCTTTTGTTAACAGAGGAGTAATACCTGTGAATTTCCAGTCCTTTTAGCACTACCCTCGAAACTAAAGGAGGCTTGAAAAATTGTGCTGAGCTTTCCACACTTTCATTGTATATTTCTTGAACAAATTAGGATTCATTCAATTAGACTAAGTGACTTTTTTTTTGTGAGTATACTTCTTTATGTGCTTTTATCCTATGCTGTATTATTCCTGCTTCATCCTTTACTACTATATTAACTACATCTCTTGTAAATATGGATGCAATGTACTTCAGTGTTTGGATGGACTATCAGTGTAGTTGATGTGGTTCTAATGTTAAGGTCTTGATAGAATTTTTTTTGTTCACTGACAATGAATGCTGGCCAGTATAAGGCCTGTAAGTGTGATGTAATGGCCACATACCGTGCACAAGACTTTGAATAGCAATGAGATTATTGCAGTAGTGGAATACATTAAAACTGATATCCCTGTTGTCACTCCCTTGTCCCTGTTTTCTGCTTTTTTTTGCCCTCTAAAATATTCTAAATTGAATTTAGCATTTTTCTCTGAAGTTCTGTCACCCCTTTTTAACATAAGTGTTAATTAATTTAGTTCACAACTTTCACAGAAGCAAGATTGTTTGGCCCAACAAGTCCATGCTGGGGTTCATGTTCACTTGTATCTAAATCATTTTGTATCTAAATCTCCCATTGTGAACACAAATTCCCTTCCCTGCATAGGTTTATCTTATTTTCTCTTAAATTCATCCATAATGTTTGCTTCAAATAATCCCTGTGATTGTGATTTCCGCGTTCTTGCTACTCTTTGGGTGAAAAATGTCCTCTGAATTGCCTATTGAATTTCTTGGTGACTATCGTTTATAGATGACTTCTAGTTCTGCAGTTCTCCACAAAAGGAAACATACCCCCTATACCCACCTTTTAAGAACCTTGCACAGTTTTAAAGACCTCTAATAGATCACCCCGTAGCCCTTTTTTCACAAGAAAGACCCGGTCTTTCTGATTACATGTACCCATTTGTTTCTGGTAACATCGGAAATGAATAGGATCTAGAAGCAGCCTTTTGGCTGAACATGAATGAATGACCAGGAAACTGGAAACATTGTCTGGTCATTGTTGAATAGTGCAATAGAATCTTTAATTTGTATCTAACTCAGCCATGGTTTAACTTCCAATTTAAAGGATCACATCTGATATTGTTGTACTGTGCATGGTTTTTAGTGCAATGTTTCTCAATTCAGTTGTCATAACAATAGAATGCAAATCTGAGAAAGTCCCACTCAAATAAACACAACATGTTGGAGAAGCTCAGCAAGTCAGAAGGCATGTGTGGAGAGAGAAACAGAGTTAATATTCTGAGTCGAGTAGACTCTTCTGTGGAATGTACTGTCCTGCTGATGCCATACAACCAGTCGTAAGGAAAGCAGCTGAGAGAAGATCTCAGTGAGGTCAATTCCTAATGTAATTGATCCACTTATAATACGAAACACATTTGAGAGTTTCACCTCTGAATGGACTTGCCTATAAAGTAATTTTGTTTTGATTTTTGTGGAGTACACTGAAGAGAAATGTTCCATCCTTGGTTGCCTCAGCAATGTTAAGAGTCAACTAAATAATTGGGACTGGAGTCATCAGTAGACCAAATCAGATGGGATGACAGATTTTTTGTCTCATTTTATGAACAGTGAGGTTCCAACTATCAATGGCAACTTTAAGACTGGTATCAGGAAATTTCTTACAGATTTTATCAATGCAACTGCTGATGTAATAATGGAGGTGAAACACAGAAGAAGTGGAGAGATCTCAGAATCTTCATGGATATATTGCAGTGGGCCAAATATCCTTTACCATCCATCAATATCTTATGCACCCTCTATTCGTACCTGGCAAGAGAACTTGAGTGTTTGATTTTAAACAAGCAAAAGTTGTCAGAATAATAGAGAGAGTAATTTCAAATAAATGTGTTGGGTCTTGTAAGCTGATCTTGCACTATATAATGTCAGAGTTATCATCTATAATTTATTATCTATAAAATAATACCTGTTAATTAGTGAAAGAGAAATGAAAAGACACGTAGGTCATCTTGCATCATACTCAAATAAAGAAAAGTTCAAATTTGAATGGGATAATAATTGGTTCTCATGCAGTGAATTCGACGGAAATTTTCAGATGAAAAATGCATATTTTTGCTTATTTAATTTAACAGTTTGCTAGTTAACCCAGCCTGTTGACATAAAGGGTTAATTGTCTTTTCAATAGCTCTGAAATTAAATGCACCAAAAATCCAATAAACAATGTTCGTTTTTATGTTTATAAAATTAAGTACTGCTTTTTACTAACTCTCTGAAATCTCCAATGGCATTTCTTCCAGATTTAATGAGTTTTGATGTTAAATGCTTTTGTATTTGTAATGAAAGCTTTCACAATAAAGCAAAGGACAAAAGGAAAGCTTGCTATAAGGTGGAAGGCAGTTGCTTTTGTAGGGCCAACGTGAGTGTTAATAGGACGAGGAAAGAAACAAAAAAAATTATCTAGAGGGGATATGATTGTCAGGTTAGCAACCAGGATAAGGGCTGAGATGAGGCATATTTTGATTTGGTGGTAAATGTTTGGAATTCTGTATCCCAGAGTGCTGTGGAAGCTTAATCATTGAGCATATTTAAGACAAAAATTAACAGATTTTTGGAGACTAATGACACCAAGAGATGTAGCAATAGTGTAAGAAAGTGGCATTGAGGTAAATGAACAGCCATAGTCTAATTGAATGGCAATGCACTGAATACCTATTGCTTTTCATATATTCCCATAAAAATGGTAAAGGAGATGTTAGAAACAAGATTTAAAAAAAAGCATTTTGACAGGACAAGAATATATTGGCTTTCGGCAAACCGAATTTGAGGAAAAATAAATACAAGATGAAAAGAAAATGTTATAGGTTGAATTCATATGTTTGTGTCTGCTATATATCATTGTAGCTCGTGTGCCATTAAAAGTGGGATTTGAGACCAAGCGTTCTAAAATATAGTGAAACACTTGTAAGGAACCAGTAAATTTATTGTTGTAGTATGAGTTTGGTGTTCACGGTGCCTGATTTCACTTAAAAAGATGTCACTTATTTGTGAACTGACAAATATATATTTTCCTCTTTTCTCTGCTTCCCAAAATTGCTATGCTGTTACATTTACTGCGATTTGTGTAGTAAAACTTGATGGTCTTATGATCAGGTATCTGCCAATATTTTGATGTTCAAAATAACTAGGTATGGTGAGATCTGCAATGAGAAAAGAACTTGCTTGAACTTCTAAAGGGCTAAATAACAAATGAACACAAGATTTGCTGAGGGATTTTCGTTTTCAGTCCTTGGTGCTGTAACAGGTGTAGCTGAGTAGAGCTCCTTAGATTGCATCAGACTGAGTGTTTTCCCACACTGACTGAGGACACAGCTGTCAAGTTTGAATAATTAACATAGTGCCCATTACAGCTTGTGCCCTATCTTGGCTATCTTGTGCTCTTAATTCAACGAATAATTTAATAACAAAATCTATTTGCACAGAACTTTGACCAACAAGAAGGTAATAGTTGGTCTATTTTGATTGACCAAGGTAATAGTGGGCAGCCCCCATGTTCAGTATACTGTTTTGTTTATATTAAATCAGGATACTAGATCCTTAAATCTATTGAGAAGAATTTAGGGAAATTGTTCAGTAGGGAATGTGGGAATAGGTAATTAAGAATGCTTGCCTGGTAGCAAACGGTCAGTGCCATAAATGACTTTAGTACAATAAATATGGTCAACGAAGGAAGAATTGTACATGTACTAAGATGCAACTTTGAGGTTTAGTTAATGGAATGTGTTCTGCCTTCAGTTTGTGGCAATTCTGATACAGGTGTGCTTTATTGAAAATTGAATTTGTGCCATTTACCATTGTGGACATGTTACTATCTTAGCAAAAAGAAAACAATTATAGGGAGACCCCTTTTAATTTGGGCATGCTGAAGAAATAGATTTGAGGATTGCTGGTTATTTTCGGTATACATACAAATTATGAACAAACGTACATATGACAGCTACAAGCTTTCACCATGAATGGAAGTAGTGGTAGTAAAAAATCCCCACTGATTCACATAAAAGTTTACAAGTGGTTGTATTATCAGTGAATATCTTGTATGTATTTTGCATTTGGTTAGGTGCAAAAGTGCTCCAGTGCTGTCATTTTGGCAAGTGTTAAATGTTGCAGGATCGTGCTGTGATATTTACAATTTTTGTGCGCATCTCGAGTTGGCTAGTCGAACCATTCGAATAATTCCATAAAATAGCTGTGTGTCAGCTACTGCTCACTTGGTCTCTTGTCCCAGAGGCAGCAAATTCATATTCCAGTCCAGAGACTTCACAGCAAAAATCTAGGCTGAGGCTCTGGTTCTGTGGGAGAGTTGAATTGTCAGTGTTGCTGTTTTGAAGCTAAGACATTAAATCTAGGCGTCCCCTTCAGTTAAGTGATGATAACAATCCCATGGCATTATTTTGAAAATAAACAAGAGATTTTTTTCACAGTGAACTGGCCTATATTTATTTCTCAATCAGTATTGCTGAAACAGATTATCTGGTTGTTAACACATTGTTGTTTGGGGAGCTTGTGTGCATATCTGTCCTATGATTTTCTATGTTACAACAGCAACTGTACTTGAGCAGCAGCTAATTCTCGGTAAAGTACTTTGAGACATCAAGAGAATATGCTAGGCTGTACTTAAAAGCTGTCTTTTCTTTTTTTTTTCCCCATTTTATCTCTAAAATAAGGTGGGCTTCCCATGTTAACTAGCGGTCATTGCCAAGAAGTATCCATTTATATTGTGCAAAGCCTAAAAAGGTGTTGACTTTTGGGTTTTGAAAGTTTGCCAATTTGTGTACAAAAGCATGCAGTACTTTTATTGGTTGCAATTTTGTTTGCATTTTAGACTTATCCAGAACTTTCTTTTTCATTTCAGCCATTTTTCCAACTGGTTAAGTTACGAAAACTTGGACTAAGTGACAATGAAATCCAGCGACTTCCTCCAGAAATAGCAAACTTCATGCTGTTAGTCGAGTTGGATCTGTCTCGAAATGGTAATTTATAAGAATGAGCTTTGTATTTTTAATGTTACTGCACTATTGACAATATTCCCTGAACAGTTAGATTGAGTTAGCCTTCAGTCTTTAACTTATATCTTCCCTGCTTTCTTGACTTCATTCCATCCTTTTGTTGTCTAGTGCCTGCTTTTTCATCTGTAACTTTTGATTTTTAAGCAGTGCTATTCATTTGTTATAAAGTGACACAATCATGTTTAACTTCTTGTTTATTCTACCTTTCTTATTATTTAGCATTGACAAAAGATGACGCTTGTGGCTGTTGGGGTGTGAACTATTTCAGACCACCTCGATTATGCCTGTAGGAATTTTTTTTTTCAGGGTGGCGTCCAAGGCTTAACCTACCAGTATGTGCAGAAGCAGAGAGACTTGGGCTAGTACGTGCTAAAATCATTGAAGGTGACAGGGCGGGCTGAGAAATTGGTTAACAAGGCATTCACAATCCTTGGCCTTAGAAATAGGGGCATAAGGCACAAAAACAAGGAAATTATGATGAGCATCTTATAAGTCACTGCTTCGGCCCTAGGATCAATGATGTCACTGAACAACTGCAGGGCATTCTGAAGTGGGAGAGCAGACAGTTTGTGGTTCACATTGAGACCAATGACATGGGTAGAAAGAAGGATGAGGTCTTGGAACAAGAATTGAGGGTGCTAAACAGCAGATTTAAAAAGCAAGACCTGAAAGTTTGTAATCTGTGGACTACTCCTGGTGCCATGTGCTTGTGAGCATAGGTGGAAAACGGGTGAATGTGTGGCTGCAGAGTTGGAGCAGGAGGGAGGGTTTCAAATTCCTAGATCATTGGGCTGTTTGTTCCTTCAGAGAAAGTGGAACCTGTACAAGTCCAAAAGGCTGCGCCTGAATGAGAGTGGGACCGAGATCCTTGAAGGAGGGTTTACTTTTGTAATTAGTGGGGATTTAAACTAATTTAGTAGGGGGATATGATAATGGAGTGGAGATGTTGTAGGGGGTGAGTATTCAGACAAGTATCGAAGAACCAAGTCAGTATAGAAGACAGTGTACATATAATTAGTTAGGGCACAAGGGAGCATGACATGTAAGGATGGTATTTACTTTAATGCAAGAAGTCTTGCGAGAAAGGCTGATGAATTGAGGGTGTTGATTAACTCATGGGGATGTGATGTCATTGTTATCACGAGATAAGGTTGAGGCTGGGACTGGACTGGACTGGCAGCATAATGTTCCAGACCTGTGTATGTACATGCACGTGTGTGTGTTGCAATATTGAACACTGGTAGGAGTGGCATATAGGCTCCCAAACAGTAGCCACACGGTAGTAAAGAGTATAAATGTGAAAATAATACATCAATAATTACAGGTGACTTTAATCTTCATGTTGTTTGGGTCAATCAAGTTGTAAGGCTGGCTACAACAAAATATTCATAGCATGCATTAGGGATGGTTACATGGAGTCAACCAATGAACAGACTATTATGGATCTGGTTATGGGTAATAAGGTGAGTTTAATAAGTGATCTTTTGAGTTAAAAAATCCTCTAGGAATTAATGATCATAACATGATCAAATTTAATATTCAGTATGAGGGTTAGAAATAACTGTTTAACTTAAATACAGGGAATTACGATGAAATGAGGATAGAGGTGGCTAAAGTGGACTCGGCAGAAAGATTAGCAGGAATGACATAAGCAAGCAGTGGCAGACATTTAAGGAGGTATTTTGTGACTCTAAGTAAGGAGGAAAGTGATGATTGAGGTATCTACCACTATAAAGACTGATGCAAAATATGTGTTTAATTCCTCTATCATTTTCTCAAACCCCATAAACTCTCTCCCCAGATTCATTTTCTGACGTGCTTGTATTCACTTTGACCTCTCTGTTACTTTTAAAGAAGCTTATTGTCAGTTTTTACATACCTTGCTATTTTCCCTTTGCCGGATTCCCAGTCTTTACGGCTATCACTGATTTTTCTGCCTTGTTACATGCTTTTTTTATTTCAACTTTATACTCTCCTTAACTTCCTTGGTTGGCCATGATTGGTTTATCATTCTATTAGAATCTTAAAATCTTAGGTATTTTGGTTTGGCAACCTGTAACCAGTGGGATTCCACATGAAGTCACTGCTGGGACCGCAACTGTTTACAATATATATTAATAACTTGGAGGAAGGAAGGAAGTAAATGCACGGTAGCCAAATTTGCAGACAACACAAAAATATGTGGAAAGGCAGGTTGCGTGAGGGATACAAACAGTTTACAGAGCGATAATGATAGGTTAGTTAAGTCGGCAAACAAATCAGCAAATGGAATATAATTTGGGAAAATGTTAAGTTGTTCATTTTGGAAGCGAGAACGAAGGAACAGAGCATAATTTAAATGAAGAAAAGCTGCAACACAAAGGTACTTGTGCATGAAACACAGAAAGCTAGTACACAGGTGCAACAAGTAATTAGGAAGGCTAATGGAATGTTGGTCATTGTTTCAAGGGGTTTGGAGAATAAGAGTGGAGAGGTCTTATGACAAGGTGCTGATGAGACCACATCAGCACTGTGAACAGTTTTGGTCCCCTTATATCATTTCATTGGAGACAGTTCTGACAGGGTTCCATAGGCTGATCTCTGGGTGGAGGGATCGTCTTATGAATAAAGGTTAAACAGATTAGGATTCTATTCACTGGATTGTTCACACATTGTGTAGTACTCTGCTGACCATCTCCAACAAAACACTGTCTAACTATTTCTGTGTGGTGTTCAATTACATTACAATCCCCTACCGCCACCAACCTGGATGGATGCTATTGTCTAGAAACTCAGCTTAGGTGATGGTTTGTCCCTTTGCCTACAATGGATGTCTGTTGCTGGTTGAAATCCTAGAATTCTTGACTTAACAACGTTTTGAGTATATTTTTCTATGTGTGTGGGTGGTCCAAGAAAGTGAACTGTCATCTTTTTTTAAGAGCAATGAGGAACAGGCAACAAATGCTGGCCTTGCCAGTGGTGCCTATATCCCAACACTGAATATAAAAATAATGTATATATAAAAGAAAATAATATAAAATTATATGAATATAAAAATAAAACTCTATTTCATTGCTGTTTTGTTTTAGAAACATGATGTATATATTGCAGGGTATTAGAGCTCAGAAGTATTGATTTTGCATTTTGTAATATTGTAAAAATGGTTATTCTTTCTATATTATTTGGTAAATACTGGGCATTATTCTAGTAATGAACCTGAACTTTGGCTTCTTGGGCACAACAAGTTGCTATACTGCTAATAATAAATTAACTGTGATATAAGTTTGTATATTATTATTTGGGAACTTTGGAATAATGTAGTGGCTTCATTTGCCCTACTTCACTCCCCAGAGCCGGATTCAGTATTGCTTCCTTGTTGGACTGTAGGCTTTGATTGGGAAATTGGGAAAATTCTGCTATTGCGTGTCAAAATTCCCCTCCATGCCCTTGAAATCATGTGTTTCTCAGTCTTTGTTGGTGTAGTCGAAATCTCCTAATATCGCTGCTCTCTTATATCCTTGAAATTTGGGAATGGATTTGCTTGTCTCTCCATGCACTGTTTGGAGCTCAGTTTTACCAGCTCTTGTTCTGTTCCTGTACTCAAGCCAGAGACTCTGTCCATAAATCAGCTTGTAAAATCCTTCACATTTAAAACTTAACGCTATCCGTAGTGAATGCTGCCACACCTCTTTTTGTTTTTTCTCCTTTATCATTCTTTAATACTTGCCATCAAGGATGTTAATGACCAAGTACTGGTTATAGAGTTGTAGAGATATACAGCACAGAAACACACCCTTTGGTCCAACTCGTCTGTACTGACCAGATATCCTAGTAAATCTAGTCCCAATTGCCAGCATTTGGCCCATATCCCTCTAAACCGTTCCTAATCATATACCCATCCAGATTCCTTTTAAATGTAATTGTACCCACTTTCCCCACTTCCTCTGGCAACACATTCCATACGTGCAGCACCCTCTGCGTGAAAAATTGCCCCTTAGGCCCCTTTTAAATCTTTTCCTGCTCACCTTAAACCTATGTCCTCTAGTTTTCGACTGTACTACTCTGGGGAAATGACCTTAGCTATTCACCCTGTCTATGCGACTGATTTCATAAACTTCTATAAGATCACCCCCTCAGCCTCTGATGCTGCAGCGAAAATAGCCCCAGCCTATTCAGCCTCTCCCTGTAGCTCAAGCCATCCAGTACGAGCAACACCCTTGTAAATCTTTTCTGAAGGCGTTCTATTTTCACAACATCCTTCCAATAGGATGGGGACCAGAATTGCATCCAATATTGCAAAACTGGCTGAGCCAATGTCCTATACGGCTGCAACATGGCCTCCCAACTCCTATACTCGTTGCACTATCCAATAAAAGCAAGCATACCAAATGTCGTCTTCACTATCTTATCTACCTGTGACTTCACTTTCAGGGAACTATGCACCTGCACTCCAAGGTCTCTTTGTTCAACAACACTCCCCAGGACCTTACCATTAAGTTTCTAAGTCCTGCCCTGATTTGCCTTACCAAAATGCAGCACCTCACTTTTACCTAAATTAAACTCCATCAGCCACTTCTTGGCCCATCTGATCAAGATCCTGTTGTACTCTTCTTCACTGTCCACTACATCTCCAATTTTGGGTGTCATCTGCAAACTTACTAACATAATGTCTCTGTTAATGCAACTGTACTATAATTCCATTTGGCAATTGTGCAAAAGAGTTATCAACCTTACTCACTCGACTATGAATATTGAAGCACAGTTTGTTACTTTCTTTGTCACTTTTTTGCTATTTCCTCATTTGGTTTTTGTAATTCTTGGGATATTTCTAATTTTTCCACTCTATCTCTGTCCTGTGATCTCTCATCTACTAAATTGTGTTTCTCTTCCTGAACAGTACTAGTCAACCTCTTAGTGAGAACGTTGGTCTGAAGTTTTGTTTAGGTGTAATCCAACCATCTTGTACTGGCACCCTTGCCCATAGG